AGCACCACACTCTCCCAAGTGAGCCATGGGCCAGCCCATGAAGTTGGATTTCAGAGAGCCTAAGGGAGTAGACAAGCATCTGGCTGTAGAAATAACTTAGTGCAAGAAGGGATGCCGAGGGAATGGAAAGAGCTGAGGAAGGCTGTGTTTTTCTGTTTCCAGTGTGGAGCCAGAATGGAGGTCACAGTGAAAGGTAGGTGTGTAATTCATGGTCAGTCTGTGTTGAGTGAAGAACCTGTGGGAGACATGGCTGGATGCGTAGGAGGGAATAGCAGTGTCAGACAACCCAGGAGGTCTGGCCTGGACATGAAGCCTGGGGCAGCACTGGAAACCTCGCTCCACAGGCAAGGAAGGAGGAAACTGGAAAAGAAAAGAGCAGGAGCAACCCCCTCCCCAGCTCTGCAGCCAGGACTCCTGCCAGACCAGCCCTCTCCCGGGCCCAGCATGAGGAATGGAAGGGGAATTTTATGTCCAAGTATAATCATTATGACTAAATCTGTTGTCCTTCTACTGCATGTCAGCATGATGTTAAGCTCTATAAGTGCAACTCATTTAATCCTCCCCACTTTTTTATGAGGCTGGGTGTGCTATTCTCCGAGATGTCTACGGATGAGAAAACTGGGGCCTAAAGCGATTAAAGAGGCCCATTCAGAGTCCTACAGCAGCAGATGGTAGAGCCCGGACTTTGAAAGCAGGCTACAGAGTGGGTGTTCTCAACCCTCACCCTTGGATACCTCCCGACAAGGAAAGAGAGGGTCAGAGGGCAGAGATGGACACAGCAGTGGGAGATTACCCAGGATGGCCATGAGTGTCAGGACAAGATAGTGTCACCTAGGATAGTGAGCAGCCTTCTCGGGTGTGCTGTACATTAGTGTGGGTGTGTGAGTGTGTGGGTGTGTTTTCAGGGATGAGAGGGCAGGGAAGGGATAGGAAGGGTGAGGAGGGGGAGACTGGGAATGTTGGTTGCTCTGTCAAGGGCTCAGCCATGAAGAGAAGAGGTGTGTGGGTGGGGGTGAGATACGGGATTAAATGGATATGGGATCTGTCTTGACCAGAAAGAAAACTTCTCCCCTCAGAAGTTGAGAGGAGCTACTGGGGAGTAGTTTGTGTATCAGAATGTTGGAGGAGTCCAGGGTCATCCCTTGGAGTGAATTAAGAGGCAGGTTTGTCTGCAGAGAGAGGACAGTGGGAGGGGCCAGACTGAGGAGTGAGACTGTGGGCTTGCCATTGTAGTGGGGTGGAGATGGAGTGAATGCTGGCAAAGTCCCATACCGGGACTCAGAAGCCAGCAGGGTTGGGCAGAGAGAGCAGGCAATGGTGTAGAGCAGATTGCACAGAGCAGCCAGGTCAGAGAGGCCAAGAGGTGGGCCTAGGGCCAAGGGTGCTAAGAAAGAGAACAGGGGCAGTGGACTGGGCTGGAGTCTGTGAGAGGGGGAGGCTGAGAGCTGGGATTGCAGTGTGCTTAGGGCCGGGACTGCAGAGCTCCCAGCTTCCTATTTTCCAGTCACGAGGCCTTAGTTAAGTTTTACTCAAGCTCTTTCTGCCTCAGTTTCCTCATCCACAAATCAGGGAGAACACTGATAATCTCCCTTGTGGGGTTACAAGATCAAATGCATGAATTCAGGCAAAGAATAGGGTACGGTGCCTGGCCTCTAGGAAGTCTAGCCTGAGTGGTCATTGGATTCTGAGGTACAGGAAGCTAGGGGCATTTGCCAAGGGAGGAGGCTGGGATCATAGGCCCCAGTGCGTTTTAATTCATATGTGTTTGATGCAGAGCATCCTTTCACATTTATCGGCCATGCTTTTGATTTTACTGTGAACACCCTGTTTGTGTCTGTCACTTGCTCCTCTTCTTTCTCATATGTCTTTATTTTCAAAGAAGCTAGAATATAATTTTGTCAAGTTCGAAAAATATTCCTAGTGGTATGTTTCTTAAATTTACAGATTAAATTTAAATGGAGGGCCGGCCCATGGCTCACTTGGGAGAGCGTGGTGCTGACAACACCAAGTCAAGGGTTAAGATCCCCTTACCAGTCATCTTTTAAAAAATAAAAATAAATTTAGACGGAATTAACTTTTTTTTTTTTTTGTCCTTTTTGAGACCGGCCGCACCGCGCTCAGTCAGTGAGACTCTGTGAGCGCACCGGTCATCCCTATATAGGATCCGAACCTGCGGCGGGAGCGCTGCTGCGCTCCCAGTGCCGCACTCTCCCAAGTGCGCCACGGGCTCGGCCCCGGAATTAACTATTTTTTAAAAGTAACGTGTGGTGTTCAAATCCTAGAGCAAAGGGAAAGGGCCTCTCACATACTGTTGATAGGAGGCATAATGGTGTAAATGGCAGCAACCTTTTGCAAGGAGCTTTGGCAACATTAACTGAGATTTTAAACTGCAGTCTTCCTTTGACCTCACAGTTCTACCTCTTAGCATTTCTCTTTGAGAGATACACAGATGTGCAAAATATATGTGCAAAGAGGTTTGTTATACATTGTTCATGATATCCAGAAAACAGGGAAAACCTAGATGTCCATCTAAATAAATTATGGTACATGTGTAGACTAAATTACTAGATAGCCACAGAAAAACATACAGTCAATGTGTATGTATGGGTTTATAATGGAGTGGAGGAAATATAAGTGAAAAAAGCTGATGAAATAAGTGTGTTCATTCCATTTGTGTGTCTGCATGTGTAAAGATGAAGCACACATTTTATATTATAAAATATAAAAGAAACACATGCTTTTAGACACAAGTAACATTTCTGGAAAGGTATGCAATAATTTACAGAATGCCTTTTTTGAAATGAGACAGAATAATATGCCTTTTTATTATGCACCTTTGTTTTTTATATCACAAATTTGTGATTTTTTAAAAAATTATATCCTTTATGGTTGTGATAGTGTTTGACAAAGAAACAAAAACTTTTAAATCTTTTTTTTTTTAATCTGAACTGTTATTGTTAACAGGTTGTAATTGTTTAAGTTTTAGGGAAGGATTTTTAAAGAACAGGCTTTCTGTAAGAAAAGTAAAACTTAAAGTTTTTGGTAGGCAGTATAATGGCTTCCAAACATATCCAGATTCTAATCCTTGAAAACTTGTCAGTATGCTAGGTTGCATGCCAAAAGGATCTTTGCAGATATGATTAAGTTAAAGGATCTTGAGATGCAGAGATGATCCTGCATCATCTTGGTGAGCCCAGTATCTTCAAGGGTCCTGATAAAAAGGAGACAGGAGAGTCAAGAGTCAGAGAAGTTGATGTGACCACAGAAAGAGAGGTCAGAATAATGAGACTGCTGGCCATTGGACACAAGCCCTGGAGTCTGGGCGGCCTCTAGAAGCTGGAAAAGGCAAGGAAGCAGATTCTCCACTAGAACTTCTAGAAGGATTGTAATCTTGCCAACATCTTGATTTCAGCCTGGTGAGGCAAGTGTTGGACTTCTAATACCCAGAACTGTAAGAGAATAAATTTGTGTTGTTTTAAGCTACAAAATTTATGGTTATTTGTTACAGCAGCAGTAGGAAGCTAATATAGAGAAGGACAAAATGTAGGTGCTAATGAGGATTAAATTTCTTTGTCTCCAAGCAAGAAAGATGGGCAAGGCATAGTTATTGTTTCTTTGTGGTATATTAATAGAGAAAGGCAGTTATAAATATGTGTTTAAAATATGAAGATTACTAGTAGTGGAATGGTAATATATGGTATACCTTCCCAATCACCAAAGGAAAAAGCACATTTAAAGATATTTGATTCCTGTGGTAAAGCGAAGAAAGGAAAAACAAAAGTAATGGAAAATATAATATGTAATGGTAGAAATAAGATCAGTTCTTACAATAAATGTGATGGATTGAACTCTGTTTTTAAAGGCACTTTGAGATTGAATTAAAAATGAAAAGTTAGGGGCTGGCCCGGTGGCGCACTGCTACAGTGCGCCGCTTGGGAAGTGCGGCGGCGCTCCTGNGCCTCTCACATACTGTTGATAGGAGGCATAATGGTGTAAATGGCAGCAACCTTTTGCAAGGAGCTT